GGAAGATTTTTGCAAGAGCCTCTTCTTTCTGTAGCTCGATATCCTCAAGCTGCTCGTCAAGGCTGGCCCAGTCACGAACTGAGGGCATCTTGTTCACATTACGAACATCGCAAGATTTACCCATTCGAGTACAGCGACCACATCTGTTCAGTTTCGGATCTCGGGATGCCACGCATTCGGCGTGGGATTTGTCGCATCAAGAGCAGGGAGCCATCTTTCGTCCAGTACGATTAATACGATCTCCAAGGGCCTTAATGTCGGTCGTGGGTTTAAAACGATCGGGGGACATGTTGAGGAGAGAAGAAGGCGGTTGCTTTCTAGCGATATTTCTTAGGTCGTACTTAAGCGTAGGGACACGCTAGGCTAAGAAGGGGATAGTGTCATGAATCACGTGTTCACGTGATACCTGTGTCATAATAAGAGGAGCAACCCTCGACAGGCACATCCAGGTTTCTTATAGCAAGCAGGGATCGTTTGGAGTAGCTAAGCGATCCAGGGATTTCTCTGTATTGTTATCACGTGACCAATAGTGGTCGCATGGTCGCGGCGACCAGCAGCGATCATGGGAATGAGGGTTCTATATAGGACTGGCACGTCTGCCATTAGATAGGAGCTTCGTGCTCAACTTAGTTATCAATCTTGTCATATTAGTTTGACATCTTTGATACAAGTAACGAGTTCACTTCCAAGTGAACAACCCGATAGTCTTCTTCTTATCATAGCATACCAACCAGCGAACACCCAGCCAAGTTTAGTATCGCATCGATTTCAGATTCGCTAAATGCGCTGTCCAGTTTGTCCAACACTAAAACAACCCACAGAAAACAACCTCCTGACTTCTTGATGATTTTAGAAGCTACCTCATTTCGATATTCTAGATTGCCAATCTCAAGCTCGCCCACCTTCTTCTTGACGTACAGTTCGATGTCCCCAATAGTGTTTTCTGGTGAAGCGCTTTCTTCCACAACATTCCGCAATGATGAAAAGCCCTTCTGAACCGCAGGTGTTGATCGGCTAGTGATGAAAATTCGTAAGGGTACACCGGCATCAAGTTTTGCAAGCAGTGGAAATAGGAGACTCTGGTTTGAACATTCATCCAAGGCATCAATAACCCAATACTGGGTTCTCTGGAACGACGTCCTGAACACACCTCCAACGATAGTTTTCGCCACAATGCTCTTGGTTCATCGCGGTCAAGCCGTACATCGTTTTGCTGCAATGCCAAAACTTCTTCCCGAACGTTGAAGTTCATCGTTGATATCTGAAATGCGAGGGACCGAAGACAAGTCTCCAACCCCGAATTTAGCTTGTCTCCGTGTTTGAAAAAGAAATAGCTACAGTCCATGTTGAGATCCTCTAGAGAGTTCACAACTGAAGCAGTAAGGTAAGACTTTCCTGAACCTGGTTGGCCATTAACCCAAAAGACTTCTGTCTCGAGTCTCTGAGAATCTCTCCATTGACAGAATGCCGCAGAACTCGTCAACCAGTCACAAGAACCCTCTATCTGCTTTTCCTCAAAGCTTGCAACATCGTCCTCGGGTCTTTCGTGTATATCAAGGTACTTTTCGAGAATCCGAAGCTGTCTATGCTGATCTTCTCGTGTTTGATGGTACAGATTTTCCTCGATGCCTTTGGTGATTGAAGCTAGAGCATTTCTGATCGTTACATAATTCGCGTCCGACGGAGAGTGGAATTTACAGATTCCCCTGTGAGTTGCGTTCACAAGAGTACTAATTTCGTTGGAATACACGAGAACAGCGGACTCTCGACTCACAATAAAATTGGAAATTGGACCCAACTGTGTTTCAACTACTTCGTAGAAGAATCTCAGTTGAAGGCTTCCCGAAATGTGGCGGAAACCATCGTTGATGAGTTGGAGCATAACCGAGTTATCTTTGAGATCGTCCACATAACTTTTTGAACCACCTGGCAAGACAATGCTTTTCAAGGATTAGTCCAGTACCCGTGCTAACCCAGAGCCACGATGTGGGGTCGCCAGAAAAACCATGGTATGAACTCGTGCCGCTAAAGAGCCATACAATGGATCTTCCCGACAAATCATATACAGTTTCTTCATCACCAATCCTCCCATGCTATGTCCAATCAAAACTATCGGCGTTGTGCTACCATTGCCAAAATACGGATTATCGTGGATTTCTGATATCAATGACTTCGCAAAGTCGTGCACATTTAAGGCGCTCGCTTTCTTTTCTCCCCAATTCGAAGCATAACCAAATGAATGTATTCGAACGTTTCGAAATGCGGGGTCGCGGGGAAGCCATTCTTGAATCCAGTAGTGCCATGTATCTTTGGTCAATGACCAGGTCTTCCGACTGCCGCCACCCAAGCCATGAACAAATACAAAATCTATCAACGGTTCCGAAGGCACAAATAGTAAATTCAAACCAAGGCTTCCAACGGCATCTTCCGGGGTATTTGGTTCTCGTCTTAGTAGAGTGGTACGAGCCTGGAACACGCTATCGAGGGAATTCGTTGAGGATTTACTCCGGTGAGAAAAGTGTCGAGAGAACTGTGTGTAGGAGGTCAGTAGAGAAAGATAGCATACGGTTCTCATGAGTAACAAACCATTTCCCCAGAAGCTGATCCATTTAGTGGAACGAAGAAGGCATGCCAAGTCGAGCGTTGATATTGTGCCTAGTTCAGATTTGTTCTGCGCATCGTGAGTTTCCATTTTACGGACTCTTCTGTTTCTGCTGGTGGATGGATGGCGCCACATGCAACGATCCCCTCGTTTCTGCGGCTCTGGCCTCTAGGATTTCTTGATTTCTTAATGTCTTATTTTGATGATAAGAAACCGGGGTTCATATTGGACTGAACAGGAAGGAACTCTTGGGCACCGTTGCTGTGCCTAAAAAATACGCCAAAACAAGGTCGACTACTCCCAAACACGATTAGGGTGCAGTCAGCGTGCCGTTGCAGAATCCTTTGCTGCTGAACAACTCACCCGGCGCCTATTCAAACGATACCAATGATGATTGATGGCTACCATGTTCCTCTTGCATGTCACCGCGATGTAGTTCTTAAAGCCTCCCGACCTCCACTTCATAGTAAAAATTAAAAACAAAAAGCGAGGGAAAAGATGGCTGACAAAGAATTTGATACGGAATTTCCAGACCTGAAGTTGCTCACGATTGATTCATCCTCCCTTGAAGATGAGGCGGGACCTAGGATCATGGTGGATGAAAATGTGATTGCGAGTTAGTCCATTGATACCTTTTTATCGTCTTGTTGTTCTAACGAAAGCTCTCAGAATTACCAGCAGGATCGCATTCAGTATATGCAAGAAGTCATGGCTCCAGCATGTGGACACAAACCGCTCGCGTAGAGACTACACAGGCTGACGAAACGCAAAAATCTTATTTTCTCAAGGCTGGGTTCTATACTTCCACTCATGTTATCTGTTCTAACATAGAAATAGGTAGCCTCTGGAGACCTTGGTCTTGGTATGGTGGAAGGAGAATTCGAGTCAATGAAGTCAATCCACGATGTCTTAGAGGATTTCTGTCCAAAGCCCTTAGCCTGGGGAACTTTCAAATCAAATCCAGACCTTCACTTCTTTCTCTGTGATTTTAGAGAGATGGACCAAGATATTCCAGAAATGGACAGGTTTACTTCCATGTTGGCTGAATTCCATTCAACCTCCAGTGCCAGGTCTCCAAATGGGCACTTTGGTAATCATTGCACCACTTATAACGGCAATCTTGCCCAAGACAATTCTTGGACAGACTCTTGGGAGGAATACTTCAAGGACAATATTGTAAGAATGCTTCAACTTGAAGAAGAAGCACGAGGCCCCAGCCCAGAGTTAAAACAACTTGCGGGGCCTTTTCTTGAAAAGGTCATCCCGCGACTCTTACGGCCTTTAGAGACGCAAGGTAACATTTTGAAACCTTGTTTGATACATGGGGACCTTTGGTATGGGAATACCTCAACGGATCTCGATACCGGAGAACCGATCACTTTTGATGCATCTTCATTCTGGGATCACAATGAGTGTAGGTGGTACACAATCGATTACCCAATCCTTTTCTGACTCTCTTTCTCTACAGATGAGGTTAGAACAATGAGACCGGCTGGAGTCCAATTTGGGCGGGCTTATTTGAAAGCATACCATGCTCGCTACCCAATATCACCCCCGGAAGAAGACCACGAGGATCGTCTGGCACTTTACGCCATGTGAGTAAACCCATCAGATTTCGGTACTCAGACGTGCACTGAATGATATGCGCCATATTTAGAAGGTCTCGAATACACGATTCTGCGCTCTATCCCATGAACGAAGGGTTTAGGAATCTGCAAGTGCTGAACAAGGCCCTTGAAGACTTTTGCTAACAGAATTCTAGTTTAGTCGAACAGATGAGACTTCTTGCTGACAAGTACCCTGACGGGTACGGGGAGCCAATAAGTAAAGCCAGTCTCTAATCCTTAGCCACCCATGAGGTCTTCTCCTATGGATAAATACCATCTGCCCCTTCCATCTAGTTTGCCATCGTAATCTTGGAGGCGCGTTAAGCGATTTTTACTGGAGGAGCAGACCTGGTTGATCCATTTCATTCCATAACACGTACAACCTACATGTAAGCCAAAAAACATAACTTGAAATCGGTTTGCTTTTACTAAACACCTCAACAACACAGAAACATGATCTAAGATTGTCCCTATATTGTCCTATTAGAAAGGATGCGTCTCAACACACCTTAATCAGGGGCTTGCACAATAAATGCACGGACTAAGCCGGTAGTGTTTTTGACCACCAAACGCATATTTTCAATTCATTTGGACTAATGCTGTTAAATAAAACCTGTTTAAATAAAATTTGTTGTTAATTATATTCCCGAACGTTTTTCAAATATTACAGTAGAAGCCTCTGAGAACATCTATTGTTGAAGCCTACAAAGTTCAAGTATAATCACAGCCTCCCCCTCTTGGTCAATATTAAAATTTAATGAACAAGATATACAATATTACCTTGGTCCCTCCAAGTCAGCCTTGCATTGCCAACACAACGCGAAAAATGGTTCAGAGTTATCTCATGGAGAGTAGAGCAGAAAGATATTATCCCATAGGGAAATTGCTCATCCGTACCGATGTTATCGGAAAGTTGAATTGTCCAATCAACCCTCAATTAGAGCTTATCAGTGATCACCACCACACGGCACCAACGACATAAGAACAACGTAAGATCAGTTTGGTTGTGGTACGTCATTCTCTAGAAACTGACCCGCTTTTTACCTCTATATCGTTCGTTGCATAAAGTTGTAGGGTTTTTGTAAGTAGGGCCACAAACCCATACCCCCCGATGTTGGGCATCTGCTTCGTGGCGTTCACGGAAGCCTCTGAAGCCTCTTAGACATACCGCCTAGCTCGCACGTGCTATACGCCAACGAAGGTGTGATTGATTAGAGCCAGTGAGAGGAGTTCAAGGCTCTAGGCATTTCAAGCCATTGTTTTCTCTCACACGACTACGGCGAAACCCAAGGCTTTGCTGATGGTCTCCATGCTGTGAACCACCCGCGATGCAGGAACTTTTGTGATCATCTGCTGTATTACTTATATGGGAAAGCAATTGTCTTTATCGAACCATTATCGACTTGCATCAGCGATGCAGGCTTACGGTGTGGGAATATGGATTTTTGAGCAATATCTTTTTCGTTGGGTTTGTTTTGGTTGACAGCAATTTGGCGAGGAAGCCGGAAATGACATGTGATAGTGGGTCCTGAACATATAGACACGAGCATTTCGAAGATTCCTGGTATGATCAAGTTGCCAAAACACTCAGGTTCTTGCGGTGAACAGGTGCACGAAGTACGAGAGTATCTACACCACACAGGGTCACGCTTGGACAAACCAGTGTGGCGGTAATAATTCTGTGATCCAACGGCAGGGTTGCACCTGCGGGTGCACCTGCAGGTGGACCCCCACCCTCACCTGCACTCAAGAAACCCCAACAAACCCTTTTCGGCCTAACTACTTCCATAATAGCGTCACTTCTCCCGAAGAAAGAAAGCACACCTGCATCATCGCCTTTTTCCAAGTTTCCACGAGTCCACGACGTTGTGTTATATCTTCAAGCATCCAGACTCTCATGTCACCCGTTGATAAATTTCAATTGTCAATGGCTGTATGAAATCATAGAAGTCTGATAATTTCACCCGCTTTTTCGCTTAATCTGACAAAAAACTCATCTTCACTTCAGAGCTTGAATGGTTGAAAACTCTCATATCAACACCCTGGTCAACCTGTTTGCAAGAGATCAATATGTCAGTCATCGACACCTCAAAAGATTTGTCCGCACTTCTTTTTGAACAGACAAAGGCTACGCCAGATGCAATTGCATTAGAAGGAAACCGAATCAACAATCGTGACCGAGCAACATGGACCTATCAAGAACTGGACACCAGAATCAATGAAGTCGCCAATCGACTTCGCGCTCATGGCGTTGGCCGTGATACCCTGGTTGGGGTTTTGATGGGACGAAGTGCCGATTATGTGATTGCTTGTCTTGCGGCTCTGCGTGCAGGTGGAGCATTCCTGGTTCTTGAACTTGCATATCCACCTACCCTTTTGGCCGACGTGATTGAAGATGCGAAACCCTTGGTCATACTCACACATATTGGTCATGCTGGTCAAATCAAAGCTAATATCCCGCTCATTCTTCTCAACGAGCCCGAATCTGAGGAAGGAATTAAGAGAGCACGAAGACCTTCCAAGCCAGCCCCGGCTGAGGATGACTTGGATCGACTCGCTTTTGTATGCTACTCGTCCGGTACAACGGGTCGTCCAAAAGGAATTCTGAATCCGCACAGAGCACCAGTACGTTCTTATGATCTGAGATTCCGTCTCAGTGACCTCAAACCTGGAGATAGAGTCGCTTGCAATGTCTACTTCATTTGGGAAATTATTCGACCACTTCTTCGAGGAGCAACAATTATTGTCGTACCTGATGAGGCAAGCTATGATCCAGTCGCCCTTGTCGATGTTCTCAAGGAACGACGAATTACTGAGACTCTCATGACACCAACACTTGTCGCTGCAGTCCTCTCTCGACACCCAAACCTTGGCGAAGATCTTCCAGGACTACGTACGTTATGGTTTAATGGTGAGGTTGTCACCACTGATCTAGCGCGCCGTGCTATGAAAGCACTTCCTAAGACACGGCTGCTCAATTGTTACAGTGCAAGCGAGTCACATGAAATTGCTTGTGGGGATATTCGAGAAGTCATTGACTACGATGTTCCTTACTGTCCTGTTGGACCACCGGTTGATCCAGAGCATACTTATATTCTTGGAGAGGACGGAGAAAAGGTAAAACCCGGTGTCAGCGGGGAATTGTTTGTCGGTGGACATCTTCTCGCTCGTGGATATCTCAATCTTCCCGAAACCACAGCCAAGTCATTTCTGCCAGATCCTTTTGATCCACAACCAGGAGCCCGCATGTATAAGACAGGAGATTTAGCGAGACTGCTCCATTCCGGGTACCTCGAAATCACTGGTCGGGTGGGTGCTATGATTAAGGTTCGAGGTTACTCCATCGTTCCAGGAAAGGTGGAAAATGCCATAATCAAGGAATTGGCTGTACGGCGGGCCGCTGTTGTCGCTCACGGTGATGGCCTCGAACGACAGCTGGTCGCTTATGTTGTTGCTGATAAAGATGAACCTGGAGATCGCACACCTCTTACCATTGATGAGTCCGGATACAGTCCAGTTTGTCGAAAGGCTATGTTGAAGAGTTTAGCCCAATACATGATCCCTGCGCTATGGGTTGAACTCGACGATATGCCAACTCATGCAGTTTCAGGAAAGATTGAGTGAGTATATGAATATACCCTTGCCAGGAACGCTGTGAATGAGAATTTACCATTATAGTGTTTTTATGCCTTCCAAGTCATTTTCATTGATAGAGTACTAACTTCTCTACTTTCCAGTGTCCGTCGGCTTCCTCCCCCAAAGCCTGTGAAGTCACGAAGTGCCATCAAGAGTGAGTCTGGAGCTGAATTAGCTTTCACCATTCCGGCAATGATAGAGCAATGGGCTGCATCCCTCAAAGTTCCCACAAGTGCCATCACGGAAGAACATTCTTTTTTCGACCTCGGTGGCCACTCTTTAACACTCGCTGAACTTGCTGCACGATTGACAAAAACCTATGGGTTCAACATTTCTGTGGCAAGTCTCGTTACCAAACCAACTCTTGGAGGTCATCTTGAAGTTTTACAATCTGCTCATGATGGCCATACCGCAGCAGTACAAGCAGATTTACCGGCAGTCTTGCGCGCTGACTCCATTCTTCCTAAAGACATCCAACCTTCTGGTGCTAAGTTATGCACCCTTCGCGACGCCGAGACAGTTCTACTGACTGGCACTACCGGTTTCTTGGGGGCATTCTTGCTTGCCGAACTCTTGCAAAGTACGTCAGCTCGAATATTGTGCCTTGTTCGCTTTAAGGACCCCACAGGTGATAACCACGGAGCGGCTATTGCTAGAATTCGGCGAAACCTCCTAGAATTAGGGCTTTGGCAGGATAGCATTTTAGATCGCATTGAGGTGGTGCCGGGCAACCTTGCCAGCCCAAATCTCGGACTATCGAAGACCGAGTTTGAAGAGCTCGGGGAAAGTGTTCAGGTCATTATTCACGCTGCCGCCACAGTCAATCTGGTTTATCCGTACGCTGCATTACAAGCACCTAATGTAGCAGGAACTAGAGAGATCATCCGCCTAGCATGCAATGGCGGAGCCACTTTGCAATATGTTTCCACAAATGGTGTACTTCCACCCTCGCAAAAAGGCTGGCCTGAAGATACAACTCTCGATGTGGATGACGTGCCAAGCAAGCTTGCTGATGGATATGGCCAGACCAAGTGGGTAGCAGAACAACTCGTGTTCGAGGCTAGCTGTCGTGGCTTGCCAGTCAGAATCATCCGACCTGGCACCATCAGTGGACACAGTACCTTGGGTTCCTCAAATCCTTACGATCTTCTCAATGCAATTATTGTGGAATCGCTTCACCTCGGCTACGCCCCTGACATTGAAAGCTGGCTTGCCGAGATGACCCCAGTAGATTTTGTCAGCAAGGCAATTCTTGCACTAGCGAATTCCAACGATAATCAAATCGTATATCATCTTGGTGATCCCAAGCCTGTTGACACCAGGAAGCTTTTCGATGATCTTGGAGAATTGGGATATCCCACCAAGAAGCTTGGCTGGGAAGAGTGGGTAACTCTCTGGAACGAGAAGAGAAGCACCACGAAGGGAGGCGAAGGAGCTTTTACAGTTGACATACTTCGTGGTGGTATGCCCACTGTTGATTTTATGAAATGTGTCATCGTGCTCAATGATAGCAAGACAACTCCTGCTCTTGAGACTCTTCAACGTCCCAAAATCGATCTTCACCTGCTTGAAATTTACTTACGTCATTGGTACGCCAGAGGATGGCTTCCTAGAGCACCCAAGTATCTCCAGAACGGGTTCGCCAAAAATGGCATCGCCAAGAGAGGTCGATTAAGTGGAAAGGTAGCTGTGATCACTGGAGCAAGTTCTGGAATTGGTGCTGCTGTAGCAGCAGCGCTATCCCGTGAAGGTGCACATATTGCTCTTGCAGCACGCCGAACTGATGCACTTGAGAACGTCAAGAAGAGCCTTTCCCTCAACGGCGGCAAAGTCATCATCCACCAGACGGATGTTACCAAGAGATCTGATGTGGAATCACTTATGCGTATCACCAACGAGAAACTTGGGCCTGTTGATATCCTCGTCTCATGTGCAGGAGTTATGTATTTCACCATGATGGCCAACGTCCACAATGAGGACTGGGACCGCACTGTCGACGTAAACTGCAAAGGACTTCTCAACTGTCTCTCCACGACCGTTCCACCCATGCTGGCCCGCGGTACAGGTCATATTGTCGCCATATCATCAGATGCAGGACGCAAAGTCTTTCCTGGTCTCGGTGTCTACTCGGCTTCTAAATTCTTCGTTGAAGCTACGCTCCAAGCTCTTCGTGTCGAGACTGCAGGATCAGGTCTGAGAGTTACATCGGTACAGCCGGGTAATGTGGCGACGGATTTGCTGGGCATGAGTACGGATCAAGAGGCGTTGAAGAAATATGGGGAGCCGAGTGGTGCAAAGGTACTTGATGCGGATGATGTGGCGAAAAGTATTGTTTATGCGCTTGTGCAGCCAGAGCATGTTGCTGTTAATGAGGTTATGATTGAGCCGAGGGATGAACCTATCTAATAAATTGTGTCGATATCGGCAACATATTTGGGATCGAGGAGTTTCAAAGATGACGCGCTATGGGATAGATGGCTGGATGGTTATGATTATGGTTGATGATGGAGCGGGGTACAGAATACTCTTTCTGTAGGTAGACATCCACCTCAACGCTCTTTCTTTTTTGCTGGAATTATGGAGCGCCATAATGGGTGCTTGATAGAGGGTAGATAAACTTGGCAATATAAATCAGAGTAAACAGAATCGCCTTGGCAAGAAGAATCACAACTGATTGGGGTTGTTCCAAGCGGGAAGTAACTGACCTGTAACATTGTTCTAGAAATTTCACACGCTCGAACCATTTTCTTGTATATAAACCTGGGTGAAAAATAAATCCAGACCATCTAATTCACGTCACCATCCAGAAACTCAAACACAACTACTCATACATAACTATACCAGCGTCCACAACCCGCCTTTATCCCACAAACCTCCACCTCCCAAGATAACCAAGAGCTTCGCTTCCTCTACGAAGTGAAAGCTTTATAGGCACCAAAATGTTTACAAAGGTTATCAATCTAGTACCGCATCAGATTAGCATCCCATCCCATCTCTCTCTCAAAATAAAGAATCAAACAAAGAGAAAAAAAGACTTCCTTACCGCGTTATCCTCGATATGCCCTCCCTGACTGTAGCACTTCTCATCACCCGTCTTGCTTGCATCATCTCGCCACACGCAATCCGCGCAGGTGCCTCCGTTTACCTGGGCGTAGCGTTCGCAGGAACGCGAGCTGGCGTAGCTGTTGAAGGAATACTGTCATGTTGTGTGAGAAATTGGGGTTATGGGTTTGTGGATGGGGTGTGTTGGGACTGAGTGAGAGGGGAGGGGAGGGCTTACGGAGCCGTCGCTGTTTTGGTCTTGGCAGTAGGCGAAATAATTGCCTGCTACGCTGGGAGTTTGTTAGGTGTGTTTTTTGGTGGCTTTGGGGTTTTGTGTTGGAGGATTGAAGGGAGGTGCGTACCCGGTTGTGAGTGTTGCGATTGTGAGGATGGAGAAAGTGGAGATACGCATTTTGGGTACTTGGATGGAGGTATGTAAATCTTTCTTGGTGGGTTGTTTGTTGGGTCAGCGGAGAGTGGTTTGTAGAAGTAGATGAGCTCGGATGTAGGTGAGATAGAAAAGAATGTTGTGGATGATGTAGAGAGACCTTTTAGATTTATATATATTTTTTCCCAAGGCCAGTATTACCTACCTAAGCATCGCGCAAGACTTAAACTTACTGTGAGATTACATCCCGGAGGCTTATGGACTCGTACACACATCGGCTTCTGATGGAAACTATTCTTCTTTACGTTTCAATTAAAGATTCCTGGTAGGATCCGCGGGAGTAATGCGGCTAAATATTTTTACGCAGGCTTATGCCCTGTACGGTAATCTTTCTCGCTTCGCGGAGCTCACTTGAGCTTACAGGGGCCAATCAGGGCTTTGAAAGGCTGTGATGTCCATGATACCTGAGATGATCTATAAGGGATCGCTATTAATACAAACTGAATTATAGGGTCATAGCTTGTAGTGACGGAATATGTGACGGTGTTCTCGTATAGTTCTCAAAGTACTCTAGAAAATTGGTATTCTTCAACACTGTCCAGACCTACTGTACCTAAAATTGCGAGCCGGAGTCGGGAGATTAGACTTGGAATATGGATACGGTTATAGCTGCGAATAATTAAACTATGGATTGCTAGCGTAGCAAGTAATAGAGCTTGACAGTTACTCTACCGTAGTAAATCGAACTTAAGAAGGATACTAGGGTGTGTAGGTGGAGTACCGAGACGGCTTGTCAGGCCACTTAGAAAACAGATTTCTACGGGTCCTTTACTTATCGTAATCTTCTACGCATTAGAAGAAGAACTTCGAGGGAGTAGGAGCCTCTAGTTCACACTGTTCCGTACTCTACCCACACACCCCAGCATCCTTCTTAAGTTCGATTTACTACGGTACATGCAGCATTTCTGGTGACGAAAGCTAAAAGTTAAATATAGTACAGTGTCACGAATCACGTGTTCACGTGATAAGAGAAGACCAGGCGGCGTCCTGAAAGCTCAAGCACTATCAGCACTCTTATAGCAAATAGGGACGCTTGGGCTAGCTAAGCGATCCAGGGATTTCATTCGGTTAGTATCACGTGATAGGGTCACATGATCGTTGGAGCTTGCAGGAGCTTGCGTTGGAGCTTGAGGATCTTGGGCTCCCCGTAGGCTCCACGAGAACGAAGGTTCTATATAAGACTGGCAC